GTAGGGTAAAGTTTCTTGCCCAAGGACACAACAACCAGGACAGAGAGCCCGGGGATCAAACCAGCGAACCACGGTGGCCCTAGAAAAATTACATCAAAAACAGAGAACTTGTTAAAAACCCAGCTGAGCGACACTGATCATGTTTCAGTCACTGTGGACTTCTGGTTGGACTGAAGGATGAGGGGTTACTTTGGTATCACTGTGCACTGGATACAGAAAGAGACATAGAGGATACGGCTGAAGTCCAAACTGCTTCATAGGCTTACACACAGGTGAGAGAATCTGTGAGAAATTTGAAGTTATATGTGACGAATAAAAAAATAAACTATATTATTATTGACAATGTTGCCAATATGCCGAAAGCATTAACTCTGTGCTTCCACGCCGAGCAAGGTGAGACACATGATGATGATCATCTTGATGACCCAGAGCTCTGGCATGACTTAACCTTGGAAGATCATGTTAAGTCGTGGTGCTGCTATGACAAAGACAGCACCTGCAGTGTTTTGGTGGTTTCTGGTGGTGAGAGATGGCTTGTCAGAGACCAAAGTGACATCTACTTCTCTTTCAAAGTTATCTAAGCTCAGCTCTTTACTGCACACAAGCACAACATTCATAGATGTGTTTGAAGCTTAATTTGAACAGAAAGCAATCCCAGCGGCTGTGATCACAAGATCGAATTCAACACTGAGACAAGAGAAGGCAGTTCTCCAATGTGAACATCTTCAACTCTGTGCTGTTCTCAAAATGGCTGGGCAAAATGAGTTATTATTCACAGCACACGAGTGGAACCTGCTGAAGGAGATAGCAGACATCTGGAAGCCTTTCAGAGAAGCAACAGATTTGACACATAGTGAGAAAACAGTCACGATCAGTAGTGTTGTTCCATCCGTGCTGTCTCTCAATTACCACCTTGAGAAACTGACACCTCAAGTCCGTTTCCTGAATGGCCTGGTCAGGAGTCTCCAAGCATCATTCTATGTCTCATCGTGCACAAATGACTGCCAGACTTTTGGCCAGTTTGGTCTTTTGGAAATGCAATGAAATAACATAAAGTGCACATTATGTTCATTGTTTAATTCATATTTATTTATTTATTTATTTATTTATTTTCTCTGTCACTCACACTTGGACACATACAAACACATGTTCACACAGAGACTAGATAAGACAGACGGGACATGCTAATCACACTGCACTAAATTTACTGTGATGGTTCTTTGCTTTGTACAATCTCAGCACTTTTTGTCTGAAGAGAAAGTTCTGCTTTTGCATTTTTCATTGAATGTTTCTTCTGTGACTATTCTTGCAGCTAAGTTTCATTGAGCTGTACATTATAGAGGTACAATTTCAGAATTACTTGGTGTATATTTTGTAAGTTCACTTGTTTCATTATGTGTTGAGATACATACAGATTAAGAAAGAGAAAACATGATCTATTATTTACATTTAATATGTACCTGCAACATTGTTTAAAAAAGACTTGAAAGAAATTCAAAGTTTAGGGCTTGAGAATTGAGGATAAAGATTGGAGACTTACTTGAGTCTTGGAAAACAATGACTTTGTCCCACATATGGCTCGTAACCACAAAGATCTTGAATTTTCTTACACACTGCTGGGGTAGCATTATACGATCTCCCAGTATCAGACCACACAGTATCAGACCACATGGTATCAGACCACACACTAGCCACTTGTTCTCTCTCAGAGCTCTGAGCACTGAACCCCAGACTGACTGAGGCCTTCTCCCATAGTATGACTGTCCGCTGTCGCAGATTTTATCAATCTTCTGCAACAGCTCTTTGACCTGATCCCTGTTTTCCATCTTGTTGTTGAATACGTGGTACACACCGCTGCAGCTTTGCAGGAGCTGCTGGATGTTTCTGTCCTCTCTGGTGAACATCTCAATGTCCATGTCGGTGTCTTCCAGTCGGTCTCCGTAGGTGAAAAGCAACATGGTGTGTTTGGAGACATTAGCGCTAAGCATCTTCTGCAGAGCTTTCAGTCCTTCCTGCTCCTGTGGAGTGAATCTTCCGAGCTGGAGGACGAGGATGAAGACGTGAGGACCTGGAGAGCTTAGCTGGAGAGCTTTTTCCAGCTCTGCTTTCACCTCGTCTGCAGATAGCCGAGTGCTGAAGAGTCCGGGGGTGTCGACCACAGAGACTCTATGATCGTCAATATCAACTTGTTTCTTCTCACTGCTCAAAGTCAGAGGGCTCAAACTGATCCTACAGTTAAACTCCTTCTTTCCCAGGATGGTGTTTCCTGCTGAGCTCTTCCCCACTCTCTCCTGACCCACCAGCACCACCCTCAGGTCAGAGCCTGAAACAACACACGGCATCAGCAAGGAGGTATGGATTGAATAGTGTGCATCAGCATTAGTGCAACCAAAAAAATGGCAAAATTGGAATTTAGTTTCTTTAAATAAGTTCAGCTTTATTTTTATTGCACCACCTCACAATTGCAGTCCTCTCAATTTAGAGACTCCACAGCATTAGAGAGAAACCCCAAAATCACATCATCACCTATGAGTGGCAATTGGTAACAGTGGGAAGGAAAACTCCCTTTCAACAGGAGGTAACCTCCAAGAGAACAAGGCTCAGGGAAGGGCAGCCATCATAGAGACCCATTGGAGAAAAAAGAGAGCACAGAGAAACAAGACAAAGTTATGAGAGAGAACACAAAATGAAATGAGTGGTGTATGAACACCAGAGGAAACTCTCAGAGCGTCATGGGAATCCCCCAGCAGCCTGGGATTCAGGCAAGGGCGTAGATTTGGCATGGACGGAAGGGACATGTCAGCATCAATAATTTGATTTCTTAGAGTAAAGAAAAACAAACCCGATAGTAAGAAAAAAAACAATCTGTCAACGTCTCATTCACCCAGCGGTGCAGAAAGGGTTAAATTACGTTCTCTACTGGAGTCCTACGTCATATGACAAATATGGCCAATGTGATTGGCTGTGCTTTTCAGAGAGCTCTGTTTAGTTTTAGCAGAAGCAAGCCTGATCTGCGAGGAGGAGAGGAGGACGGCAGCGCAAAGGAAGAACCTGGATCTAAGAAAGTATTTTTCAAAGAAACCTGTAAGTCACTTAAAGTCAATTTCACTCAACAAATGTGTGGCTATG